GAACATACACGCACACGCACACGCACACACACACACACACGTGTGCGTCACTCAAAGCAAGACTAAAGGGCTTCACCTGCTCTGACACACACAGTGGGGTCAGGCTCCTGCTCTGCTTTGGTGTTCCTTCTGTTCCATGCACAGGCGGCACCCCCAGTGCAGACCCTCACTAACTCACCAATGAAATAAAACAAAACAGTTGGGCATGGTGGCTCATGCCTGTAATCCCAACACTTTGGGAGGCCAAGGCAGGTGGATCACCTGAGGTCAGGGATTTGAGACCAGCCTGGCCAACATGATGAAACCCCATCTCTACTAAAAATACAAAAATTAACCAGGCATGGTGGTGGGTGCCTGTAATCTCAGCTACTCGGGAGGCTGAGGCGGGAGGATTGCTTGAACCCAAGAGGTGGAGGTTGCAGAGAGCCGAGATCACACCCCAGTACTTCAGCCTGGGTGACAGAGTGAGACGGTCTCAAAAAAAAAAAAAAAAAAAAAAAAAAAAAAAAAACCAACCAATTTGTTTTCACATCTGCAACGGTGGCATCTCCAGACTGCACCATCACCTGCTCTGAAGGTAGGCCCGCCGCCACTAGAGTTGGGCCTGCAGTCCTCCAGCTCCAGCTCCCCATCAAGGGAAGCTGTGGCATCAGCATTTCCTGGTGGCTCTCATGATTACATTCAGAGTTGGATTTCCTTTGGAGTCTTTATGTCAGATGCTGCTTTTGTGATGCTGGGAGTCATTCAGCCTCTGCCCAATGGAAGACATTCTCCAAGGCTGTGGCTGGTGGAGAATTGTATTCCCTAAGCAAGATGCTGTCTTCCCATCAGCTTATTAACTATTTTTCGAGGAACACCAGGTAGGGCCTGGGGAGTCCCCACCTCCAGTGACCTTCGGTAAGGATGAGGCTTTGCCCATCGAGGGTGGGCATAGGAGGAAGGGATTCTGGGACCTTCCACCCCGGAATGAAATTGGGCAAAGACAGTTTGCACTGGGCAGTGAGCCCCAGAAACTTCTGAGGACCCCACACTGTGTTGCCTTTTCCTAATGCTTCTGAAGACCCATGGCACCAGCTCTTCTTCAATTTTTCTCTTTATTCCCTTTATTGCCTCCTTGGTCATCTTTCAGTCATTTATTCATTCACCAGTGTTTATTAAACACCTGCTCTGGTGCCAGAACAGCAGGGGTGGGTGATGACAATAATCAGGACAGAGGGTCTCTGCCCTCCGAGAACTTACATTCTAGGACTGGAAACAAGCCACGAAGAGGGCGCCAAGCCCTAGGGGATGGGAGACACAAGGTACTTCAGGCACACACAGTAGGAGGAGCATCTAGTGGGGAAAGATGAAGGGATGACGTCCCACAGAAATAGGATTTGAGGCCGGGCGCAGTGACTCACACCTGTAATCCCAACACTTGGGAGGCGGAGGAGGGCAGATTACTTGAGGTCAGGAGTTCAAGACCAGCCTGGCCAACACAGTGAAAACCCATCTCTACTAAAAATACAAAAAAAAAAACAGCAGGGGTGGGTGATTGGCCAGGCACATATAGTCCCAACTACCCTGGAGGCTGAGACAGGAGAATCGCTTGAACCCAGGAGGTGGAGGTTGCAGTGAGCCAAGATCACACCACTGCACTCCAACCTTGGTGACAGAGTGAGATTCTATTTCAAAAAAAAAAAAAAAAAAAAAAAAAAAAAAAGAAAGAAATAGCATTTGAGCTGAGACCTAAGTGATAAATAGGAGGTCTCCAAGCAAAGAGGACAGAGAAAGGCATTCCAGGCAAAGGGAACAGCACATGCAAGGGCCTGGAAGTGAGGGACAGCACCGTGGGCTCAAAGGACACGAAGAGGGCCTCTGTGGGTAGAACACAGAGCAGGTGGGGGCAGGGGGGAGGTGAGAGAGGCAGGCAGAGCTGATGCAGCCCCACTGGGGAGTAGGGCCTTTATGGAAAGAACAACAGGAACTTTCTGAAGGGTCTGAAGCAGGCAAAAGATGTGAAGAGATTTCCAGATTCATTCAGTAGTGGTCTGGTTTGGCTCGGTGTCCCTCCCCAATCTCATGCTGAATCGTAATCCTCACTGTTGGAGGAGGCGCCTGGGGGAGACAATGGGATGGTGGGGGGCGGTTTCTAATGAATGGTTTGGCACCATCCCCCTTGGTACTGTCTTGTCATAGTGAAATCTCATGAGATCTGATTGTTTTTTTTTTTTGAGACGGAGTCTTGCTCTGTAGCCCGGGCTGGACTGCAGTGGCCGGATCTCAGCTCACTGCAAGCTCCGCCTCCCGGGTTCACACCATTCTCCTGCCTCAGCCTCCGGAGTAGCTGGGACTACAGGCACCCGCCACCTCGCCCGGCTAGTTTTTTGTATTTTTAGTAGAGACGGGGTTTCACCGTGTTAGCCAGGATGGTCTCGATCTCCTGACCTCGTGATCCGCCCGTCTCGGCCTCCCAAAGTGCTGGGATTACAGGGAGATCTGATTGTTTAAGAGTGTGGCACCTCCCCGTCTCTCTCTTCCTCCTGCTGCTGCCATGCGACTTGCCTGCTCCCCCTTTGCCTTCTGCCATGAGTTATAAGTTTCCTGAGGCCTACCCAGAAGCAGAAGCTGCTATGCTTCCTGTATAGCTTGCAGAACTGTGAGCCAATTAAACCTCTTTTCTTTATATTTTTAGTAGAGACGGGGTTTCTCCATGTTGGTCAGGCTGGTCTCAAACTCCCAGCCTCAGGTAATCTGCCCACCTCGGCCTCCCAAAGTGCTGGGATTATAGGTGTGAGCCACCACGCCCGGCCCCAAACCTCTTTTCTTTATAAATTTCCTGTCTTGGCTGCATGCAGTGGCTCACGCCTGTCATCCCAGCACTTTGGGAGGACGAGGTGGGTGGATCACCTGAGGTCAGTAGTTTGAGATCAGCCTGGGCAACATGGTGAAACCCCGTCTGTATTAAAAATACAAAATTAGCTGGGCATGGGGGTGCATGCCTGCAATCCCAGCTACTCAGGAGGCTGAGGCAGGAGAATTGCTTGAGCCTGGGAGGCAGAGGCTGTAGTGAACCAAGATCGCACCACTGCACTCCAGCCTGGGCAACAGGAGTAAAACTCTGTCTCAAAATAAATAAATAAATAAATAAATAAATAAATAAATAAATAAATATTTAAAAATAAATAAATTACCTGTCTCAGCCACTTCTTTACAGCAATTAATTAATGCTATAATAGAAATAGTAAATGTTTACTGAGGATCTACTGTGTGCGGGACACTGGGACAGGCACAGGGTTGGGGGCAGGGGTGACACAGTAGGGAACAAAGCAGACGTGGTCCTCGCCCTTGTGGAGCTGTCAGGCTGCTTAGGGAGCCATTAAACAACACCAGATTAAGGCCTCATGACAATGGCGAGAAGAGCTATGAAGAGGATACTGTGGAGTCCATGGGATCCCTTGCTTGCCCCCCAGACCCACTGCTCTGTGCCCTAATGAGCTGACCTGGCTGCATCCCTGAGGGGCTCCCTTGCACTGAGGATCAGAGGGTTGGAAGAAAGAGAACCCATTTCCCCTGGCTTGTCCCAGGCTCTCCAAGTTCCAGACCACTGCCCCCTTCCCCGCTCTTGCGAACCCTAGTGTTTCAACGTCCCTACTCATGCCCACATCCTTGTAAATGATTCCTGAGTTAAACTCTTCTCAAAATACCCTGCTGGGGGTGCTCTGTGTTCCCGCCGGAACCTGACTGACACAGAGAGGTATAAACTGGAGAGGGGGCACAGAAAAGGCCTCCCTGAGAAAGTCACATTTAAGTTGAGACCTGAAAGACAAGCTCGAGTAGAGGAAGGGGTGGGAGTGGGGGAGCACAGGCAAAGGCCCTGAGGTGGGCCAAGGGGTAGGCAGGGGCTGGATCACGCAGGGCCTTTCAAGCCATGGTAAGGGGCATGAGCATTAATGCTGTCCTGCAAATACCTCCAGCTCTTTGTCTTCCAGATAATGAGAGGGTGGCACTTCCCCGACCCCTTTGTGGACAGGTAGGGTCCCGTACGTGACTATTTTCTCTTGCTTTTTATTTTCTTTCTCTCTCTCTCTCTTTTTTTTTTTTTTTTTTTTGTTACCATAATTAGAAAACATGACTATTTTGAGCCCCTGGGTCATGAGCAGAAGTGACGTGTTTTAGCCAGGTACAGTGGCTCACGCCTGTAATCCCGGCACTTTGGGAGGCCGAGGCAAGGCAGATCATTTGATGTCAGGAGTTTGAGACCAGCCTGGCCAACGTGGTGAAATCCTGTCTCTACTAAAAATACAAAAATTAGCCAGCATGGTGGTACACGCCTGTAATACAAGCTACTCAGGTGGCTGAGGCATGAGAATTGCTTGAACCCGGGAAGCAGAGGTTGCAGTGAGCCAAGATTGCACCACTGCATTCCAACTTGGGCAACAGAGCAAGACTCTGTTTCAAAAAAAAAAGGAAGTAGTAGTGACATGTTTCACTTCCAGACTGAAACATTCAATTGCCAGCATGAAACCCTCTAGAACTCTTTCTTTCCCATAACACCTGGCAATGTTCAAGATGGTGGCTATTCCTTCAGCCTAGTCCCAGTGTGAGAAGATATAAGGGCTCTTAGCCAACCCACAACAGTTACGTAGCATCAACAAGTAAGAACCCTTAAACTTTAAGTTTTAAACCACTGAGCATGCGTGAGGGGGCGGCATTTATTCTTGCAGCATAACCAAGCCTCTTCTAATCGATAGGGTGCAGCTGTGGGGGTTTATCCTGGGTGCAGCGGGTGGCGCTGGGGAGCATGGCGGAGGGATGGATTGGTATGGCTGAGCCTGGATACTGGAGCCCAGAGGTCTCAAGGGTAGCGAGACAATAGCAGCAGTCACATTTAGCGGGCTTTCCAGAGGAGATACTTCCATACTGGGGTGTGAGGTCTGGCCTAAGCCATCATGAATATGCACCCCAACTCCCCCGCTTTGCTCTGTGTTCTGGTTAACCCTTTAAGAGAAAGACCACACCTTCTCATCCAGTTCAGCCAACAGCACTTTCAGGGATTTAATCAAGGCCTCGTAGTCCTCCTTGGTTTGCAGCAGGAGACACAGCTCCATGTAGTTCTTCTCACTCCGATTCATGTTCCTCGAGGATTTCATGAGACTCAGCAGCAGGGTGATCTCATCCTGCTCTGCCTTCAAGGTCTGGATCTCCTTGCTGTTGGAAAAGCAGCCCATGATTAACCCCGAACCCCTGAGTTTACCTTGACAGAGAACTCCAGGCACATCAGTCCTGCAAGAAGACTGGGAGAGAAGAACTTCCCACCTAAGCAAGCAGGCAAAAGGGACGTGTCCAGGGTCTCAGATCCAGGTCTGGAAGCCTCATCACCTGAGACCCGGTTCACCATGATTTCCTGCTGCCTTGCCTTCTCTGAAGTGGGTATTTTTCCTAGGGAACGATTTGCAGCTGTGCCTGTCAAAAGCCATTACCCAGACATGGAGGAAGCCCCCAAGTTTTCTTTTGCCAGCAACTCCCTGGCACCTGTCTGATTTGGCAGCCCATCTTTCCAGACTTCACCGCCAATTAGCTCCAGTAATGAGGAGCAAACCATCAGGCAGGATTATTTCTTTCTTTCTTTATTTAGAGACAGTCTCGCTCTGTTGCCCAGGCTGGAGTACAGTGGCAGGATCTCGGCTCACTGCAACCTCCGCCTTCCAGGTTCAAGCGATTCTCCTGCCTCAGCCTCCCGAGCAGCTGGGACTATAGCTGTGTACCACCATGCCCGGTTAATTTTTGTATTTTTAGCAGATACAGGGTTTCGCCACGTTGGCCAGGCTGGTCTTGAACTATTAGCCTCATGTGATCCACCTGCCTCGGCCTCCCAAAGTGCTGAGATTCCAAGCATGACCCACTGCGCCTGGCCAGGCAGGATTTTTCAAGTTTGCATCAACACAGGGATGCACAGTAGCCTCTAAGTTCCAGCAGTTTCTCTCCTTGCAGTGCTAATGATGAAATGAGCTGATCCAAGTCTCCTCTTTTCCCTGCCTACTGGGATGTGGGAAAAGTGGGATTTGGAAAAGAGCAATGGGAGCTTGAAAGACTGCACAACAATGGAACAAGGGGAAATGGCACAGAGGCTGAGTTTCTGGCAGTCTGGAGACTGACACCCACTGCCCAATGCGGTTTGCGGATCAGTAGCTTGAACATCCTTTCGAAGCCTGGAGAAATGCAGAATCTCAGGTGCTCAACCTGGGACCAATTGGATCAGAATCTGCTTCATTACAAGATCAAGTGTCCAGATGCTTCAACAGTTTTGGACACGCTGCTATAGAACAGCAAAGAATGTTCTACAGGCCCAGCGCAGTGGCTCATGCCTGTAATCCCAGCACCTTGGGAGGCCAAGGTCGGTGGATCACGAAGTCAGGAGTTCAAGACCAGTCTGGCTAAGATGGTGAAACCCCATCTCTATTAAAAACACAAAAAATTAGCCGGGGGTGGTGGCAGGCACCTGTAATCCCAGCTACTGAGGAAGCTGAGGCAGAGAATTGCTTGAACCTGGAGGCGGAGGTTGTAGTGGACCAAGATCGCACCACTGCACTCCAGCCTGGGCGACAGAGCCAGACCCTGTCTCAAAAAAATAAATAAAAAATAAAAATTCCATCTCGACAACACAAAAACAAACAAAAAAGAATGTTCTACAGGCCTGGAGCAGTAGCTCACTCCTGTAATGTCAGCACTTTGGGAGGCTGAGGCAGGAGGATTGCTTGAACTCAGGAGTTTGCGACCAGCCTGGACAACATAGTGAGGCCCTATCTCTACAAATATATTAAAAGTAGCTGAGGTCGGAGGATTGCTTAAGCCCAGGAGGCAGAGGTTGCACTGAGTTGAGATTGTGCCACTGCAGCCAGCCTGGGAGACACAGAGTGAGATCCTGTCTCAAAAAAAAAGAAAAAAGAAAAAAAAAAGAGAGAGAGGGTCCTGGGACAGGAGTTGGCAAACCTTTTTCTGTAACAGGCCAAAAAGTGAACCAATAGGCATGGCTGTGTGCCAATAGAGCTTTATTGACAAAAACCGGCAGCCAGCCAGATTTGGCCGTAGTTTGTAGATCCCGTTCTAACAGGATGTTCTGCAGTGATGAAAATGTTCTCTGAGGGGCCCATAGTATCCACTTCGGCACAAGAGATCATTGAGCACTTGAAATGCGGCTATTTCAGCAGAACTAAATTTTATTTTATTTTATTTATTTTAATTAATAAAATGTATTTTAATTAATAAAATGTATTAATAAAATGTATTTACAAATGTAAATAGCCATATTTGGCCAGTGACCACCTGTCTTCTCAACAGTCCTGGGGACTCATCTCCCCTGCTTAAGCCCCTCCTGGAAGGAGGTGGGGAGTGGGAGGGAAGAGGGGGTTGAGTGTCTTTGTTAAGGTGGAGAGAAAAAAGAGAGTACAACACTCTACAAAAGTTAGGTTTTCAGGGCGCCGTAGCTCATGCCTGTAATCCCAGTACTTTGGGAGGCCGAGGTAGGCAGATCACCTGAGGTCAGGAGTTCAAGACCAGCCTAGTCAACATGTCAAAACCCTTTCTCTACTAAAAATACAAAACTTAGCCAGGCGTGGCGGTGGGCGCCTGTAGCCCCACCTACTCAGGAGGCTGAAGCAGGAGAATCGCTCGAACCTGGAAGGCAGAGGTTGCAGTGAGCCGAATTTGCACCACTGCACTAAAGCTCTAGCAAAAAAGCAAAATCCCATCTAAAAAAAAAAAAAAAAAAAAAAAAAAAGAGGTTTTCAGAGAGGGTTGGTAAAAGCAAAGGGAGGTTTGTCTGTCTTGCAGGTAGGCCTGGAACTGGTATAAAGGGAGTGAAGTGCCCCAAAACCTTAAGTTACTCCCTGGATGTTGTAAGCCAGGGTCAGCGCTGGGGAAAAGTGCCTCCTTAAATACTGTATAGGTATTTCACTCGAAAGAACCTAAACTTGGCAGGGCGTGGTGACTCATGCCTGTAATCCCAGCACTTTGGGAGGCCGAGGCGGGTGGATCACCTGAGGTCAGGAGTTCGAGACTAGCCTGACCAACATGGTGAAACGCCATCTCTACTAAAACTACAAAATTAGCTGGGTGTGGTCGCACATGCCTGTAATCCCAGCTACTTGGGAGGCTGAGGCAGGAGAATTGCATGAACCCAGGAGGCACAGGTTGCAGTGAGCCAAGATCGTGCCATTGCACTCCAGCCTGGCCAACCAGAGGAAACTCCATCTCAAAAAATAAATAAATAAAATAATAAGAACCCAAACTCTCCATTCTTCCACCCTCCTCCCCTTCAGTTCCATCAAAGTGAAACCAGATCAAATGGATTGACTTAGTAGATCCAGAAGCCTGTGTGTGGGGTGGGGCTGGGGTGAAGAAGGGTTAAATTCAAAAAAAATTGTCAGAGACACATCAAAAGGAGGTATTTCCTGATGCCCACCAGAGGTAGGCTTGAGAATCAGGTCAGCCAGCCACAGATGTGCAGGTTGTGGCCCGTACAGCCCTCGGAAGCACCACCAGTTTGAAAACATCCCACTGTTCTGTGGATTTATTACACTTTTCTGGAGACACTTTCTTGTTCTAACAAAATCTCTACATAATGACAATTTTTCCAACAGATGGCAGTAAAGTGTCTTGAGAAAGTGTGCTTTTTAAAAAATTCACATGGAGGTCCCTTATGGGCTAGTCCTGGCCCTGAGTAAGTTGAATCCATGGAAAATCTAAAGAATCCCTTTTCAGGCCAGGCATGGTGGCTCACGCCTGTAATCCCAGCACTTTGGGAGGCATAGGCGGGCAGATTGCTTGAGCTCAGGAGTTTGAAACCAGCCTGGGCAACTTGGTGAAACTCCATCGATACAAAAAATTAGCCAGGTGTGCTGGCACACGCCTGTGATCCCAGCTACTCAGGAGTCTGAGGTTGGAGAATCGCTTGAGTCTGGGAGGCAGAGGTTGCAGTGAGCCGAGATGGCACCACTGCACTCCAGCCTGGGTGACAGAGCCAGACCCTGTCTCAAAAAAATAAATAAAAAATAAAAATTCCTTTTCCCCATCCTGTGAACTTCACATCTAACAGTAAGATTTCCTTTCTAACAATGGACAGTTTCTGCCTTTATAAACAATATGGATGCAGCTAAGGAGTTACATTCCCTTGGAGGGAATCTAAAAAAGCCTGTTTAATGTTTGTGTATTCAACCCCAGGGAACACCTTTCTGTTACCTGAAGAAATGATACACTCAGCTGGGCACGGTGGCTCATGCCTGTAATCCCAGCACTTTAGGAGGCCGAGGTGGGTGGATTATCTGAGGACAGGAGTTTGAAACCAGCCTGGCCAACATGGTGAAATCCTGCCTCTACTAAAAATAGAAAAATTAGCAGGGCATGATGGTGGGCACCTGTAATCCCAACTACTCAGGAAGCTGAGGCAGGAGAATCACTTGAACCCGGGAGGCGGAGGTTGCAGTGAGCCAAGATCAGCCATTGCCAACTCCAGGTTGGGCAACAACAGTGACACTCCATCTCCAAAAAAAAAAGAAAAGAAAAGAAAAGAAAAGAAAAGAAAAGAAAAGAAACGATACACTCTGTAATTTCTGATGCAACCCAATTTCAAATATTCTATCTTTCAGTTCTCATAAGGACACACAATTAGGAAATGTCACTGGGGTTTCTACCTTCTCTGGGAACTCCTCCACTTCCCTGTTGGACCAAGGGAGTGACAGCCCCAGACATTTTTGTGTCCCTTGCCCCCTCAAGCCACAGCTGATTGGACTAGGAGGAGACCCCTGACCCAAGCTGAGCCTATCAGAGTCTCCCTCTCCCGGGAATGTGGGGTTCGAATTGATTCAAGACCCTTTCTCTGTTCAGCTGGTAAACTTAAGAGTCGGAGCAGCCACTTCTCACCAGCTGGGGCTGAAATTCAGAGAGAGAGAGAACAAAAGTCATGTGTGGAGAAAAACAGAAACCAGACCTCCTTCCTCAATTAGGTCCTTCCCTGAGATCTGGGTGCCCAGCCCCTGGGGGTCCCCAAAACACCCTGCATTCTGACAATAAATTCCCCCTCTCCACTGAAGCCATCTCAAGTGGGTTTCTCTTGAAACTAGGCTCTGCAGATAAAAGACCATGAGTCCTCCAATGGGGCTCAGAGGTGGCTCCCTGCCCCAGGGGTCACAAGGCAGAAGACAAGCACCATGAAACCCAACCCCAACTTTCCTCCAAGGTCACTCAGTGTGAAACTCCAACCATCACTTACTACTGACTCGCGATCTTCTGCTGGTTTCGGAAGTTAAAAGACTTCCGGCTTTCCACCATCTTCCTGAACTGCTGCCTTAGCTTCCGGAGCTCTGCCTCTGCCTGCTGCTCTTTGGCCTTCTCCGAAAGTTCCTGGGGAGTGTCTGAGTCTTTTCTTCTGTGCTTCTTCAACTGGGGGAGATGGAGGGGAGTGGGAGGCCGTAGTGGGTCAGGTGGCTACAGAAGCCCACAGATGGGCTTAAGAATGAAGGGCAGTGGGGGTGGCTGGGCCAGGGCTGGAGGTGGAATACCTTCCCTTGGGTGATGTCAGCTGCTTGTCTATTACATGGAAAACCCACCCTGGCTTGCTAGGGTGGAGAGATGACTGACTTGTAATTGCATACTCTGGTCGGGTGAGGGTATTCTTTGGGGTTCCGGGTTCAAGCTCTCGCTGTGCCATCTAGTGGGAACTTGGGTAAATTACTGGATGTCTCTGAGCCTCTAGCCTCCCACCTACGAAACGGGCGAGCACAGATCTGTTGTCAGGATGAGATTAACTAACATGTGTAAAGTGGACAGCACAGTGCCTGACCCCATAGTAGGTGTTCTGTGGCCGGGAGCTGGCATCACCTACCACAGACATCTTGAAGGAACCGCACTTTGCCTCCGCTCAGACACTGTATCCAGGGAGCTCAAAGCCAGTGAGCCTGCCCGTCTCTCTCTCTCTGCAATGCCCTGTTCATGGTGGCAAAAGGAAGAGAACTTGTAAGCCACCCCTGCTGGGGGGTGCAGGTCAGAACGGCACCTCCTCCCTCCCCCTGCCATCCCTTCCTCCACCCACACCTTGGCACATGAGGAGGATACCCAGATGGCTGCCCGGGTGTGATAAAAGGCACTTATTGGTTTTAAAGCAATGTTTGCCTGGAACTTGTTTCTCTCACCAGTTATTATTAGGAGCTGGGCAGATGGTTGCGGTGTGTCAGTTACCCTCCTGCTCCCTGTGTACCCAAAGAGGGGGCAAAATGGCATCAGGGGGCCAGGCACAGTGGTTTATGCCTGTAACCCAGCACTTTGGGAGGCTGAGGTGGGTGGGTCACTTGAGGTCAGGAGTTCGAGACCAGCCTGGTCAACATAGTGAAATCCCATCTCTACAAAAAATGCAAAAAAATTAGCAGGGCGTGGTGATGCACACCTGTAATCCCAGTTACTCAGGAGGCTGAGACAGGAGAATTGCTTGAACCCTGGAGGCAGAGATTGCAGTGAGCCAAGATCACACCACTGCACTCCAGCCTGGGTGACAGAGCAAGACTCCATCTCAAAAAAAAAGGCATCAGGGCAGTGTGTACCCTGATGGAGTTAAACAGAAATGTGCCCAACTTCAGCTACAGCTGTCGGGGAATCCCCACCCTCCCATCTTAGAACAGGAGTCACTATTCTTATCATGTCACCACTTGAACTTCATCTGGCCCATAGTTATTCAGAGCTAGGGACAGCATTAATCCCACACATCCTTTGAGGTTGTGAGACCCGCTGCACAGCCAATTCCAGACTGCAGGAGCTGGGTTCCAAAAGCAGAAATTCCAGTTTTGCCACCATTGAGGGTCCTGCCATGCAACTGTTTAAAGCATTGGTTGTGCCAATCATCGGATCTCATTTCAAATTCCTCCAAAGCCACTTATTAACCTTGGGCAAGTCACTTCAGTTCTCTAGGCCTCATTTTCCTCACCTGGAAAATGGGAGAAATTCTAGAAGCCATGTCATTTGAGTGTGTAAGACACTCAGCACTCAGCACTGTGCTTGGGACATAGTAAGTGCTCAGTACACAGTGGCTGGGATGATATGGCAGGATATGGATTGTTTCAGAGGGTGAAGGTGCAAGGTGGTGAATGTTGATAAGGGTGAGAGGGGTGTTCCTCTATCTCCTGGTAACAATACCCTGACGTTCTCATGGGGAGCCACATCTTCCTGCACTCCTAGGGGCTGACCATACCCCACCATCTTCAAGATTGGGGCATCTGACTCTGGATGGGCGAATCAGAGCGCCAGATCCTGGTCAGTCTGCATGATCTCAGCCCTCTAGCCTGGGATTTCTTCAGGGGTGGATGGGCACATGAAGCTAGCTAGTCCAACCAGAGTGAATGGTGGAATTTAAGCTGAAACACTCATGAAGAGAGAGACTTTGTTTCCTGCTGAACTTGAACCTCGGTGGATAAGGTCAGGAGGGGTTGACAGCCATCTGGCAGAGACTGAGAACCAAGCTAAAATGGAAGAGAGAAGACAAAATGAAGACAGACTGAATCTCTTGTCCTGAGGACATCATCCAAGCACCTGCATTTAGCCAAGCCTGAACATACCTCTGAGTAATGTCCAATTACAGAAATCAGTATATTCCATTAAAGCAACCTGAGATGCATTTTCTATTGCTTGCAACCAAATGAGTTCTCATACCTGAAATACTTACATCTATTTAGCACATAAACTGAGCCCCCACTGTATGCTACACATTGTGTGGAATTCAGTGGTAAGTCAGCCTGCAAAGTGCCATAAATCGTGCCTAGGACAAAACAGTAAAAAAGGCTCCACAAAGATGACTTTTAACTTGGGTTTTGAAGAATGAATAGGAGTTCACCAGGCAGAGAAGAAAAGTTGGAGGGTGGGAGGGGGTATTCTGGGCAGAGATAACTGCCCAGGCAAAGGGTGAGAAGAAAGTGACTGAAAGGAGTGTTCAGAAAATGATTTGTGCTCAAGTATAGGCAGCGTCTAGTGGAAAGTGACTAGCAAAGAGATCTGGAAAAGACTGGATGCTGCTTTTTTTTTTTTTTTTTTTTTTTTTTTTTTTTTTTTTTTTTTTTTTTTTTTTTTTTTTTTTTTTTTTTGCTGGAATTTTGCTCATGTTGCCTAGACTGGAGTGCAATGGCATGATCTTGGCTCACTGCAACCTCAGCCTCCCAGGTTCAAGTGATTCTCCTGCCTCAGCCTCCCAAGTAGCTGGGATTACAGGCATGCACTACCATGTCCAACTAATTTTGTATTTTTAGTAGAGACAGGGTTTCACCATTTTGGTCAGGCTGGTCTTGAACTTCTGACCTCAGGTGATCCACCCACCTCAGCCTCCCAAGGTGCTGAGATTACAGGCGTGAGCCACCACACCCAGCCTGGATGCTTCTTAAAAGCAAGGATGAGATAAGATCAGCCTTGAAAGAGACTGCCCATTGCCTTCCCAACAGTCACCTCCCTTCATCTGGCATTGTTGTTTGAGTTAGCTGCCCATCCAGGGCTTCGCTTCCTGCTCCTCTTGATCCAGGCAGGGCTCTCTGGATGAATTCTCACCAATGGGATGGGAGCAGAGGGGAAGTCTGTCACTTCCAGACCATTACTTTTAAGAAGTGGGTGTGACCTTTCCATCCTTTCTTGCCCCATCTGACATTTATAGGAGGCAGAGCCACAAGACACGTCCTCAGATCAACTTGTAGAGGAAGTCACCTGCCAACCATGAACATCCTCATTGGGCTGTTACACAAATGCAACATTAACTTCTGTGTGTTAAGCCAATGAAATGTGGGGATGTATTTGTTACAGCAGCTAGTAAGCCCCAGAGAATACTCCCAACTTCTTTCTTCCTAACACAAATCTGATTTTCTACCCCCTCAATGTGCCCAGTTCCAGAGGATGACTCATGATTGGTTCCTGCTAATCATGGTAACCTCACTTCCCTTTGTCAATGATTGGTCTAAGGATGGACATGTGACCTGTGATGTGGCCAATGAGACATAAGGAGTAAAGTCTATTCCATTCCTTTGTGACAAAAAGTGAGAATTTGGGCTAGCGCAATGGCTCACACCTGTAATCTCCAGTACTTAGAGGCCAAGGCAGGCAGATCACTTGGGTCAGGAGATCGAGACCAGCCTGGCCAACATGGTGAAACCTCTTCTCTACTAAAAATACAAAAAAATTAGCTGGGCATGGTGGCCAGCACCTGTAATCCCAGCTACTCAAAAGGCTGAGGCAGGAAAATCGCTTGAGCCTGGGAGATGGAGATTGCAGTGAGCCAAGATTGGACCACTGCTCTCTAGCCTGGGCAACAGAGTAAGACTCCGTCTCAAAAAAAAAAAAAAAAATTAGTGAGGAGCTTGTCTCGTGTTCCCTCTCCTTCTGCTTTTAGAAATTATTGTGAAGACATGCATGATGGCAGGTAACCATCCCATGACCATGAGGAGAAATATCACCACTGCTAATTAACAAATAGCAAAGAGGAAAGATGGGAAAAATGTAGGTCTCAATTGACACTGTTACTGCCTCATTTCTCCTGGAACTGCCTACCTCTAGACACTGTGTTAGGTGAAATAACAAGAGTCGTTGTTTAAGGCAATCACCAAGTATTTTGTTCATTGAAGCCTAAAGCATTCCTAACTCACATGATGCATACGTTGAAAATGATTCTCAGGTTAATGGGTGATAGGAAAATAGTGGCTGGTAATGTAGGAACCTCCACATTTTCCCTGATGTTTTTGAGGGCTTGGGGGCCAAGTGAATTGTCTAATGTTGGGAAATTCCACAGGCAGGAAGTGGTACAAGACAATGGTTCTGCATTCTTCATCATTTGAATGATCCCCACCCAGGTGGCGGTAGTAGCTGTAGGAGGATTTCCACTTGACTAACAAGGTTTGGGCAAAGGATACTTTCTGAGGCCTCTTTCAACCCTGGGAATTTGGGGCAGCTCCACCTTACATGTCCAGGAGCTGTTCTATGTCTGTGCCCTTTGGGTCCTAAGTGGATTGTAATGCACCATCTTAACAGCTTGAATTGGGTATTCTCCCTGACTTTCACTGATAGTGATTTGACCTCTCTGAGCCTCAGTTTCCTCATCTGCAGAATGGGGGATACCCACACCCGTATCTCAGCGAAAATAACGTCGGTAAAGTGGTTAATATAGTGCCTAGTTCAAGTGCCTAGTTCATGACAGATGCTGGGTGTAATGAAGCTGATTTGTGAATTAGGATTTCCAGGCACCAGTCTGTCTGGCCCCCTGAGATCACTGGCTGGGTTATGCACCATCCTCCGGGAACCAAAGTCTCTGTCACCTCCCGCTCTCGTGCTGATTCACATACGCACACACGCCGTCACTCTCCCTAGGGTGCTGGCTTCTTCAGGTTCCGATGTTAACCCAGGCCTTTCCCTTTCAGCCGTGCCCC